CACAGGTTCGTGACCGGATGTTCTCGTGGACCACTCCTTGGATTTCAGTACCTCGAACCAAAATTCTGCATTCAGAGGTTTGATATACCTCTGTTTTAAGTTCCATTCATTGAAATTGTTAATTGCATCGTAAACTCTCTCTGCAGGGCTGGTGTTCCTGGCATGGAGGAGGAGGACGAAGACCGCTTGCCTACATCGGCCACTTGCATGAACCTCCTGAAGCTCCCTCCTTATAGAAAGTAAGTAATTGTAGTAACTACTGTAATGCATGTTCTGTCATCCTTATGGGTTGTTCGCTCTATCTGATCGTTTCGATTGACAGCAACGGGACTAACGGATTCCTTTGTTCTTTTGAACAGCAAGACACAATTGGAAAGCAAATTGTTGTACGCGATAAATGCAGAAGCTGGTTTTGATCTAAGTTAAAATCGGCTTTTGGACCAAATATTGTGCAGTGTAGATAGTTTCTAGGTAACAGATTAAAGGCACCCAAGGGCCAAAACACCGACCTCTGGGCCCCCTTTTGAGCCCCCCATAAAGTAAAAGGAAGGATCGATTCCAGGAGGAGGTAAGCGAAACTGAAGACACGAGGAGGGAGGCAACAGCCAGCTGCTCAAGTGCTGATTAGGCCGGTGATAAATTATTCACCTTAAATAAGCAGATGCTGTTGTTGTAATCAGCCGTGAACTTGTACATGTATTTTTACCAACGTTGTGGTTGGTTGATGTCCTCTCGTGGAGTTGTGGGATGACATGTTAGTTGGGTTTGGAAACCGGCATCAGCGTCGCTGTAGCTGTACTTTGGTGTTGGTGTTGCTGTCATGTAAGGTAACCCTAACACCAGCTGCTTGGTGCCCAGGGGCTGGGAATCATACATAATCAGTGAAAAAAAAGGGAGAGATTTGTAAGAGAAATTTGGAATGGTTTTGATGTCATTGGCTGCCTTCTGATGTTTAGATGTGGCGCGTACAAGGTGTTTTTAGTCCGGCCCAACCCAAAGTAAAATGCTTTTCTTAACGCAAAATCTAAATTGAGAGCCCTCTTGATTTAGTCATAAGAGTACTAGTCTATTAAGAGTACTAGTCTATCAAGTAAGTTGAAAAAAAAATATTCCTACCACCTATACTTTAAATAAAATTTTCTTTTAAATTACTCATCCGATTTATGATCCGATTATACCATTGTTCGTAACAATTAAGTCTTTACGATAATATCCCACGTGATTATATTTTGATAAAAAATTATAAATTAATTTTATAATATATCTAAATTATTTTTAGATTTTACTAAATTACTTCCTAGACATATAAAAGTAAATAAATTCAATAAAGCCTAAAAGTAATTTACATATATTATAGAAGTAACTTAAACAAAAAGAAAGTAGCTTTGTCATGATATTAGAAGTAATATGTAGTAGGGATAAAAACATGACTCTATCTAGAAATTAAATTAATCAGCACAAATTATAAATTGACTAAAAACAATAATAATAGCAATCAACTCATAGAATTATGAATGTATAGGAAGTAATTTAATCAAATCTAAAAGTAACTTACGTATATATGATAAACGTAACCTACGTATATAATAAAAGTAATTTATAAATATTAATATTTTTTATCATAATATAATCATGTAAGATCTTGCAATGAATACAATGGTGTAATCGGATCGTAGATCAGACAAGTAATTTACGAGAAAAATTTATTTGAAATTTAGATGGGTAATGACTAATAAGGCTGTGTTCGTTCCAGTGACATTGGGTGAGAAAGCTCATCGTTTTCCGCGCGCACGCTTCCCAAACTACTAAACGGTGCGTTTTTTGCAAAAAATTTCTATAGGAAAGTTGCTTTAAAAAAATCATATTAATCCATTTTTGCAATTTAAAATAGTTAATACTCAATTAATCATATGCTAATGGCCCACCTCGTTTTGCGTATCTTCCCAATCTCCCCAATCCCCTTCTCCTCAAACACACCCTAAGGATGCAAGTGGAAAGTGCGACTACTTTTAGTAAAAAGAGTAACGAGGGGATATACACTGTACTATTTTTGGTACAAAGGATGGTCGTTAGTTAGCACTAACTAGTGCATACGCTTCCATTAGTCGCGTACTTTCCTTAAATCTTATTTTTGATAAACAAGTCTGCACAGGCTAGCCTGTCGCTTTTTTTGCACTCTCTAAATAATACGTTGTGTTTATCGCTATTGTTCTAAACCATCCAATTTCAACATTATCAAAAAGAAAACCCAATTATATAGCACCTCTCGATTGTTTTTAATTGTTTATGCCATGCACGTTTGATTATTTATCTCATTTAGAAAAATAAATAATTTAAGCATGACTTATATTTTAATAGTTGCACATGAATTTTGAATAAAATGAGTTATCAAACATATGTTAAAAAAAATCAACAATTTCATATATTAAAAATCAAAGATAGTAATAATGCATGAATATGACCAGAAAGCACTGGGAGATGAAAACGAAGCGGATTCGGACGTATATTGATTATATCATATCCTAAATCATATTTTTAAGCGGATAGTGTGCAGATGTGGAACGAATTGTTTTCAGATGTTGAAAATGGTGTGGAAAAATAGATTTAATTTGACAGATGTTGCGCGTGTATGCAATCAACACAACATCGAGTTAGTAATGCAAGAGACAAAAAAAACAATAATCAATGAACGACCGATAGTAATAATTATATGCTTAATTGGTAAACAACATGACTACATGATATCTATAAATAAAAATGTAGCTATGCAAGTGTGACATGAGACGGTAAAAGCATTATACTAAGAAATCTAGGTTAATTGATGAATTAGATCATTGGATGTGCCATCTTATGTTATATGCAACATATAGAGTGGTTACATGGGTTGATAATTTAGGATTATTCGGCAAACGAACTATCGAATAATCCGATAGAAATATTGGATAATCCGTATTTGTTATATTTTAGAGATACCATATCCGCATCCACACCGTATGTGGTAGATTTCTAAAAGCCCATACCATATACTTTCAGATGGATTCGGAGAGGGTTGGATCGGAAATTATCCAATCCGTATTCACCCCTCAAGGCACTTTCCTTTCAATCTTTCATGAGGTAAAATTATTACCACAAACATATATATATCAAAGCAATAAAAATAATTTTGGAACGAGACTTTCATGTATAGGTTCTTGGTCGTCCCAAAGCTGAGAGCACTAAACGAGCATAATATAATATAATAAAGTAGATCTGTGCCCAACTATTTACCTAAGCTTTTTGTGAGCACATTTCTTAAATTATTAAACGACGTATGTTGTGTGAAAAACTTCAAAGTAAAAGTTTTAAAAACCAGGCAAATCTATTTTTCAAATTTATAGTATTTAACTTAATTAATTGTGCACTAATTATCCATCTTGTTTTGTTTTGGCTAATAAGCTTAGCTAAAAATCTCTACTAAACTCAGCCTTATACATAAAACATTTTATTTCTTTTTTAATAATGGAATATACTTTCGGCCTTTGCTCAACGAGCTACAACCAATTATTACACCAAATCGCTCAAAAACGTTCACAATCTAATGAGACCACAAAAAACACACCAATTTAACATAAAGCAACACAAACTAATAAGCACCAACACAAGATTAAAAATCAACAATTATTGAATCCTATTCGTGAAACCTCTATCCAAAGTTGGCGAAAATCTGCATGACTGTTGACTTAAGTTTACGACATGCATAATTTATTAGCTTGATGACTTCATTACACCTTTATAGTTGAGCCCAACACCGAAACCAGTACATTGCCCTGAAAAGTACTTACATATAAGATTCTGAAGATGCTTTATCAAAAACCATATCATTTCTACTAAGTTATAGAGCCTAACATATTGTATATGCTTCTACAAGGATAAGTTTGTTGGTTTTTTTATCAATACCCACAAGCCAATCCGTAAAAATATGAGATATAGTATGTGGATGGTATAACCCAAAAGCAATATGTACTGCTCTCTAAAGAAATCTGGAAAAATGGCAATCCAAGAATAAATGATAAATTGTCTCATTTTTCATAAAAAACAACATCTCATATTACCATTCTAGCCAAGTTATCCTTCGGTAACACTACTCCTTTAAGCAGATACCATATAAAGATCTTAATTTTAAGAGACATATTGAGTTTCCATATGATCCATTTCTTTAAGTATAACCATTATTGATTAAAACTAAGTACATAGATCGAATCGAGAATTGACCATTTTGATTAAGGTTCTATCGAAAAACGTCATTTTCTTCTGTCAAATAAATATGAACAATTGAAGCACACAAGTTGTGCCTATATATTTATCATATTCTGGCCTACTAATGTTCTTCTAAAAGAAACATTGAGCGAAACACAACTCATAACATTTGCAATCAAAGAATTTCTCCTACGAACTATAGAATACAAAGACAGGTACCTATCCTTAAAGGAAGTATTGTCTATCAATTTATCCTTCCAATTCTGACTTGTTCAACATTATTAACTATCCAGGATGCCATATTTAAGAAACTATTCTTAACTTTTTATGAGACCCGACAAAAAGGGAATCACCTTGTTTTCTCTCAACTTGATTTATTGATTGATTAATAAAACATTTTATTTCCAAAGTACGTTTTTAATAGTATTTTAGTAAGGTTAAAGATTCGTCACTATCCCCATCTCTTTAATCTTATATGGCCCATGTATATGTACGGTGTGCACATGTCTTCCATGTAATTACATTGTTTTTTTTTTTTGGCTGTAGGGTTTTGAAGTAATGAAGTGAAAAAGGAGGAGTAAATTTTACTTTGCGTCGCCTTTCATTTTGGATGTTTCAATTTGAATACTCTTTAATCAATATTTTTACTTAAAAAAATAAAACATTGGTAATAAAAATGTGACCTCAAGTAAAATTTAATTAAAAAAGAGAGAGAAAGAAATAGTGAATATAATCAACTCCTCTCTGTTGGATCTCAAGAAAGAGTTGGGCGCGAGAGCACCGACGACCCAACAACACAAGACGAAGCGAGCGACGAGACGACCTAACCCCAAAGCGAAAAAAGTTGCTGCATCCTTAGCGCGCAAGCGAAAGCGAGAGGGAGCTCGCGCGCGCGCGAGGGATCGATGGATCGACCCCAGGTGATGCCCCTCATTCAGCGCTCACCCTTTCTCCTCGATCCGAGCTCTTGTGTTGTTTTTCTTTTTTTCTAGGATTTTGATCGATCTCCCTTAGGAGGGAGGGAGGGAGGGAGCTTGTCCCAGATCCAGCGGTTTCTTGGATTAGGGTTCATGGGGGTTCTCTCCGCTCGGATCCAGGTTAGGAGGTGGTTCGTTTTGGATTGGGTTCTAGAATGACCCTTGGTTTGGTTGATGGTGGCGGGAGGGGATTCTTGATCACGCGCGGCGGGATCTGAGCTGACAGAAATCAAGATTTTTCGTTTTCTTTTAGGACAACTTGTGCCAATTCTGCTTTTCATTTCAGATCTGGTTGTAATCTGAAGAGACAATAATCTGACACCATATGAATGCTGTTTGTTTGTTTCAGGTAGTTACCGAGAACTATGCCAATCCTGTGACGTGCCTCTTTCATGTGCTCTTCAAGGTGATTGTAATTTCGTTGTATCGTTGGAACTCTGCTTGTGCTTTCTAGGATTTTTGATTGTTCTGTCCGCGTCTGATACTCGTTATCTTGTCTGTGCGAAGGCTGGGGCGCTGGTGTTCTACATCTTGTTTTCGCTCTTCGTGAAGAGCTTCGTCATCATATTCGTCATCACCGTGTTCCTGGCGGCGCTCGACTTCTGGGTGGTGAAGAATGTGAGTGGCAGGATATTGGTCGGGATGCGGTGGTGGAATGAGATCGACGACGAGGGCAACAGCGTGTGGAAGTTTGAGTGCCTCGATGGGGAGGTTTGTGCTTGCTTCAAATGTGACATTGCTGTTTACCGTCCTAAACAATGACTTTTGCATTGACTTGATGGAAATAACTCCGTACAGGCTCTTGCTCGGATGAACAAAAAGGACTCGTGGCTGTTCTGGTGGACTCTTTACTTGACTGTAAGTGATCTATTATCTGTTAAAGAGTGTTTAATGGAATATATTATGTAGCTGGATAGATATATTGCATGTAAAGCAAGTTTGTAGATTTAGCAGAACCATTTTTGCATTTTAGATATAACAAGAATTCAGAATGACTAAGCTGCCATTTGCAATCTATTGCGGCTTGAACCAAGCATTTTGAATTACTCCCAGGGCTAGTAATGTGTTCTTTTTTTCTGTAGGGTCATATTTTACTATGTTAATCTTATCGGCTTTTTAACGTTTCACTTTTGGTTAAGCTTTTTCAGTTTTTGATGTTGAAGGTCTTTGTTATGTTGGCTTTCATCAAAATATAGGAATATATTTGCTTGTAGGAGGAAAAGGAAACATGCGTTCATTGTTAGAACAGGGATTAAGAACCATTTAATATCCATCAAAAGGGCTCTATTTGATGATTAAATATATATATAGGTGTTCCTGTAGCACTTCCATACAATTCCATTCCTTTCAGTATTTTGATGTGCTGGATGCTATTTTATTACTGTGGGCCAGTACATAGGACATGAATAAAATATTATTTCTAGTTTGTCGTACTAACTCAAAAATCTCTTTTCACACACATTACTCACATTTAATCAAAGTGATTCTCATGTATAGATCATTTATCTGGCTGTCTGTCTACTTGTCTGCTTTTCCCAACACAACCACTATACTGTAATAAGCATTAAGTTGACATAGCCGGTGCTGTGTTCTCTTGAGAAATTGGAAAGTCCATAATAAATTGGGATCACTGTGAAACAAGAGTCTTGTGGTGACAGTATTTTACAGTAATCCCTAAAATGTTTTGCTCACATCTGTTTGATACCTTTTACTATTTACGGAATAAGGTAATAAGTAAGTCATGCTAGAGCTTAATAGCTTTCTGTAGATTTGTAGAGCATAAAAACCACCATTTCATGTTTCAGGCTGCTGCATGGATCATTCTTGGGATATTTTCACTTATCAGACTTGAAGCTGACTACCTTCTTGTTGTTGGAGTTTGCTTGACTCTAAGCCTTGCAAACATTGTTGGGTTCACCAGATGCAACAAAGGTATTTCCTACTTCAGATTCTAGTCAATATTTCTCAGCACAGGGAAGATAACCTCTCACATTCTCATAAACTGATTGTTGATTGTGATGAACAATGCTATCTGTTAAAAAGTTTGCATGATATTTGAAAAACTCAGTGTGTCAAGCTGTCATAATTCCACTACATCTGGGATGATGGTTTATTGGAAAACTGTACTTGATGGTTCAGCTTCACAAATTCCAGTTAGGCACATGTTCATCAACAGACACCATGACCTATTATTATTGTCTTAAACTTTGTCTTCTGAAACACTCATTTATGCCTATCAATTCCATTCTCTTTGTTTTCAAGATTTAGATTCAAGAGTTATGCTTTGATACATCATGTTATATCGTGCTACTTATTTTGCAAATATAACTTATGAAACCTTATATTGAAGCTTTCTATGATTTCATTCCAGATTAATCTTTTTTTAAGCCAAATCTGACTATTTTACATATGTAATTGTGTATTACAGATGCCAAGAAGAATATCCGGGGTTACTTTGAAGGTCATGCTCAAAATGCGATCACATCCCGCATCACATCCACCCTGCAATCAGCATTTGGAGTAATCTAAAATCCGAGCTCCAAACAGCAAGGCCCTTTTCGAATACAACCATGTAAAATCTGTCAAAAGGATTAGCGTGCATTATCCCATTTCCATACATTTTTGTTGACCCAATACACCCAGTAGGTTGATTTTGATTGGAAAGACAGAGAACACCTTGTTAGTACTACTGCCTTCCAAAGGAGTAAAAAAGAAGTTTTTAGCCGAGAATATGTCTTGAGTCTGAGTGTACCCTTTAGGGATTTTGACCCTGGAACCTGTCTTCCAATGCAGCTTCTTGTTAATTCCATATATTATTAATCATTTGCTGTGCTGTATCTTAACGACAATTTTCTGTAATTTTATGCATTCTCGCAAAATGCCCGTACATGGTTACGTGATTGAGAAAATCGCATCGGCACATTGAAACAAGAAATCTATTTTGAATTTAGAGCTTAACTTCAGAATTAAATAGATGTTTTTTATTTATAGCTACTAGTATAAAAATTTCAAGCGGACTCGAATTGACTTCTCATTACTGTATAACTCCCTTAAAAGAGTTACATCATCAACGGTTCATAAATTCGACCGTTATATTTGGTTTTGAGAATGATGGTCCCACATGTCATAGTTTTTAGAATTTTCAGACTCACCACCGTCACTACTCTCTCCTTTAATTCTTTTAAAGGAGTATAGAGAAGGCCAGAAGGCCAATTCAGAACGGCAGTATTGTGCAAAAGAACATATATAAACGTCGCTTCAGGAAAGGGAAACTAAAAACAGAATGATTATTTGGAAGCTATTGAGTTCTTGCACTGCCCCCTTTTTTTTCCTCTGAAGAGATAAAAGTAAAACTATCTTACATCAATTTTCTTGAGGTCTGGAAGCTTGCAGCTTCCATAAAATTGTCTATACACGTACATCAACAGTACAAAATCTTTGTACTCAACACAAAAGTTCAGAAAAAAAAAAAACCATGAACTTCTCTACTTTGTAGCTGAAGGAGCCTCTCCATTGTTACTTTGCCTTTTTTTATCAACAAAGGAGCTAATCAATGTAAGAACCAATTCTGTTGGGACATACCCATCAATCCACATTACTCACCATCATAATGTGAATCGATTCATCATCATCCATCCATGGATCCATGATTCATCCAGATGATATTTATTCGTTTCTTGGCATCAAGAATCGGATGATTTATTGGAGCCAGCATTGACCAAGCTTGCCAGCTTCACTTTGGGCTTGGAGTACTCACCACTCATCGCGAGCTTAGCCGCGAGGCCACTGCCAAAATCAGTGAAGTGCACACCATCCCAGCTTAGCACCTTTGATCCTGGCTCGCAGAGATCATCGCAGCCAAATTTCCCTGGCTTGAAGTTGTATGGAGGCCCACCGTTGCCGCAGCACACCATCAACGGCCACTTGATCCCTGAACACACAAGAATGTGAGCGAATTCAGATGCAATATATGAAACTACCATAAAGTTATTCATGAATGTGAACACAATTATCCAAATGTTCTGAACTTTTAAAGATGGGAGAGTCATACCATATTTGGTGTGGTTGGCGACGAAGTCGTACTTGATGGCAAACATGTCGGTGTACACGACGGTGGCGTTCTTCAGCTGCAACCGCATTTCGTCGCAGAGGTGGCTCAGCTTCTTGTTGAACTGCCGTGCAGCCTTGTTGTAATTCGCCAGGCAGCCATGGGCGTCGTGCTCACCCTTCTCCTGCACCACCAGTGCAGGTAGGCAGCCAAGGGCGCCGGTGCCATGTATCCAGAACTTCCTCGCGCCGTTGTCGTACAGAATCTGTGGATGTTGGAAACAACCAAAGCTTCTGTCAGTGTAACTGCTTAAGAGTTACTACTACACTCGCAAACGGAAGTTTCAGATGCTGTATTGTAGTGTGTAATTTACCCGAATCGCGTCTTTGATCTCACTGACGATCTTGCTGAATTTTTTGTCCCAGTTATCAGATGGAGTGTGCATCACACCAGCCACATCGTTGTGGCCGATGTCCATCATGTATAGAGCGTTCTCGAAGCCCTCCTTGCTCACTGGCCCTTTCTGCCCTGCAAATAAATGCATGATGTTTTATCATCAATATTTCCAATTTTCAGCTACTGTCTTCTATATTTTTTTCAGGTTTAAACTGTCTTCTTTTTTCTCGCAATTGTAAATGTAACAGCACAAACTTATTCAAGCAGCAAGCAGCAAAGCAAACCTCGTTCGAAGAGCTCCAGGGATCTGTGCTTGAAGTACACAAACTGGTCGACTTGGACATTCAAGGAATAGGGAGAGACGCCGTGTGATACTGTTGAGCCAGCCATAGCGAAGTTGACACCATTGCTGTAGTCTGAACCAATTGACTTCAGGTATGGGTTCAGTTCACGTGTATTCAAGCTCTCACCTGAAAACATCATCATCAGCGACCGGGTAGATTTAAAGGGACATTAAATTACTGTGACAACAGCAGCAGCAGCAGCAGTAGCAGTATTTCTATGATATTGTTTTACCACCTTCAAGATCCCCATATTGTGTTAAGCTTCACATTTGCTACCACACCTTACTAGTCACTATATTTATCTAAACATGGTCACTACATTTATCATTTTGTGGTCTACCAGTAATATTTGGAACTTATGTAAATATGTTAATGTTATGTTGTCAGGCTTCTGGACAGCTAGGTAATTAAATCTTGGCCCAAACATAACGAAAGGTTACTTATAACCAAGGGCTGCTAAGAGTAATATGGGCCTCATCCAAAGATATTGCTCATGTGTCCCTACCATGTGCACATCTCAATCATACATATGCATATATGTGATATCTTCTATGTCTGTACTTGGGGTCACCCATGGAAGTTAAAGCTTGCAACTCTCATGACCACATAACGAAAGTACAGATTCTGCCTGTCCTAATGCAGGAACAATGATAAATGGATTTCCCACCAAATTCTCAGAAGAAAAGGGGCATGCACAGATAATACACTCTTTATCCCACCAACAAAATGCATGTCATGGATGGGTCTACTCCATGTGATTTACAGATAATATATACATGATACTATGTGAGAATCATTAACTATCACATGGTAGCATGCATGTGTTTGGACCATACTAATATGTAAATTGCTTATTTCAAATGAAGAACTGAAGATAAACAAATCAAGGGCTCTGTACTCTCCGTGAGTGGAATAATTATCTAAGCATATAGTACTCACAAACAATAAGAAATTGATTTGTTCACAGCACATCAGATCAGAGGCAATAGAAGAAAAAAGTGGATGAACTTGTGGATTTATTCTCCTAAGCCTAAAATCTTGTGGAATTATCCATCCAAAATCCATTCTAAATAGGAAAAAGTTTTGACCCAGTAACTAAGATGTATGTAATAGGACGACTCTCTGCACCCTGACATCATTCACGGGCAACTATAAGAACATAAATTGGAAAATATAACCATGTGTCTGGTAGGTTCAACTCTCTAACCACCCATGTCGTGCACTGATCACATCGTTAATGACAATTTCCTAGTGTTGACCCAGCAGCTAGCACGTTACAGTCACACAAGGTAAGAGCAAAACAGGAATCCAAAAAACAACCAACTATCATTTCAGTCAATCAAGTGATTGGAGTGCCCATCTGAGCTTCCATCCAATGACCATTTGGATCAGTAATCTAACTTGGGTTAGATCTAAGTACAAGAAAGTGCAAGAATCAGTCTCCTCAAGGACCTGGGTTGCAATTTGCAGACACAGGTGACAGACAGGGAGAACTAATACTACTTCTTAAGTCGAGCAGTTCACATCAACAACCCAGACATATCCATCCAACCCGGTCACAGAGAGGAGCAAGTCAAAGATACAGATCATAGGTTTCCTCTGTCCCAATTGGCAAAGGAGAAAAATGCGGAAATTGTTAGGCACATGCTGCTACTGCTTCGGCCACCAAACTCTCCCCATTTTTTAATCCCCTCCTCCAGTTCCACGTCGGCGGCGACCAAATTATTCGGAATCACTCATCTCACAGCTTGCTGATTTGCTAGATTTTGCTCTACCAACCCAGATTATAGCAAGATAGTTACTCGAATGGTCAACGAATTTCAGATGAAACAGTATAATTTCTAGAGAAATGGGTCGCTTGGAGGGGTGAAATTCGTGGAAATTTCACACGTAGTAGTTCAAATTCTACAGTAATCAACTAATCATACGGCTTAAGAAGCTTCCAAATCAAATGATTTTGTACGCGATTAAGGACTGGGTTTATGGCTAAATGGCAGCAACCAACAAGAGGCGAAATGATTAATTAATGGAGAGATTGATTGAACTCACAGATGAAGTCGATGATGACGCGGCCGTCGGAGAGGCGGCCGGTGGGGTGGTGGAAGTAGGTGCGGCCCTCCGGCGGCATGATCCGGATCCCCCCCGCCGCCGCCACGCCGCCGGTGTCGGAGTTGGAGTCGCCGAAGTTGAACAGCACCACCCCGGCCGCCGCCGCCTGCTCACGCTCCTCCTCCGCGGCCGTTGTAGCCGCCACTCCGGCTCCGGCGGCGGCGGCGGAGGCGTCCGCTCCCTCTCCGGCGGCGGCGGTGGCGGCGACGACGGAGCCGAGGTTCTGCCTGACGGCGGCGCCCATGGCGGACGGCGAGACGAACGCGAGCGAGAGCACCATGACCGCCACCACCACCGCCGCGAGCACGCAGTAGTACTGCAGGCGCAGGCTGATCACCTTGTTCCCGCCTCCGCCTCCGCCGTTGGTGGGGCTCGCCATGGCCATCGCGCGAGCTCGCCTGAGCTCTCGCCTTCGCGGAGGAAGAAGACGACGATGGCTGAGTTTCTCTTCTCTTCTCTCTCAAAAAAAGAGCGGTGAGAAATGTGCGTACGCGTGTATACGCGTATATAGTGTGATTAGTGTGTGACTTGGGGTCTCGTGTGGTTAGGTGATAATTAGGAGTAATTAATTACTAGTAGTAGTTTACTAGGACTAAGTGCACCCGCAATGGTAAAGTAAGGTGCTATCTATAAAACATGTACACCTCAACAATAGACTAGATTAATAGTAAACCACTTCAATGGTATGTCTACATGGGTATCTATAGCTCTCTAATCCATTGCCTCGTTTTTCTCTATAGACTATCTCCATGTTAGTAGATAACTTTGCTCTCTCTCTTCATTTAATCTCTTCTAAGTAGGAAAATATGCTGACATGGATCTCTTGTAGAGAGCTTATAGATAACCATTGTGGGTGCCCTAATGGTGATTAGCGAATGGACATCGAGATACTTAGTACTTCATCCGGTTGATAATACTTGTCGTTTTGGACAAGGGCACGGTCTCTAAAAAAACAACTTTGACTATTATTTTCCATAATAATATGTATTGTTAACAAATATATGATTTTATTAAAGTACTTTTTAAGAATAATCTATACATGTAGTCATCATATTTAAAAGACAAATATTTTAAAAATGATTCATAATAAAAATTTTAAAATTTGATCTCACTCTTATCTAAAACAACAAGTATTATCAACCCGAAGAAAGTATTAGTATTATTTAGTTGGACATTTTTGTAGTTAAGACTTAAGAGTGGATTAGTTGGGTTTTGAATGAGATCACACACTCCCTCTCCTCACTTTTTTGAACTTTTCATAGTTTATAGTACAAGATACATGTTTGTTGGTGTGTGCTCCCTTTGTGTCATATTACAAATATTGCAAGTTATTTTGAGTTTTTCTTAAGTTAAATTTCTTTATGTATTTAATGATACTAATTTGGTGTTGTAAATGTTGGTAATTTATTTTTTTTCTTCTTATCGAACTTGGTTGAGTTTGATTTGGGACAAATCCAAAATAACTTATAATATGAGATAGAGGGATTATATCATTTCTTTTTTTCCTAATTACTTTAAATTTTACAATTGAAAATTTACATTTTTTTAATATAGGAGGTGTATGTACATGCTAAGGTAATTTGCTAGATATTTTAGTTAAGGACTAAGATCATGAGGTTGATTAATTACTGTTAGGACACAATAATTGGAGGGAGATGGTGTTGACGCAGAGGAAGTGACGGCGGTATGGCTTGGATTTGGACATATTTTGGACATTTTCAAACTTCAGGGGAAGAAGAGTGGACTTAACAATTGCATTAACATAATATGAATAAACCCACATGGATTATACTAATGATGATTTACAGTGAATCCAAAATTAAATAATGGACGTCTCAGAGCTGTCCTTGTGATTTTTTGCCAATTTAATGGAAATTTGCAGAATCAAACAAAAGGAAAAAAATATTAGTTTTTCTACTTTCTTGTATTATACAGTTGTATAGAAAGAGGTTGTGGCACACCAATCATAACTGTAGAAGTGTATGGCATCTTATATGACAGTGACGTGCATTATAGCGATGCGTGTATATGAAACCAGCTGTTAAGGTTGAAAAAAAGTTTACTATCTTTTGGACTGATCATGTCCGGTTATGATTAGCATTCAGCAGGTTTTAATTAAGTAAATCAGGCAAAAAAAGGACCTAATCCCATTTACTAACTATTCAATTTACGCTTCCTAGGAACGGATGAATTTTGCCTTTTGTTTTTTTAGAGATCGAACTGATTCCTGCGAGAATTCTGTAGAACTCCTGTATATCAAAGGAGCCCTGCAATCTGCAAATAAAGTACATATGTCAATGATTTTCTTGAACAGTATATAGCATGAGAACCTTGTAATCCTTTAGTACTAGCATGGTACAAGGAAATATTTGTTCAATGCAATGGCAAAGTTGTAATTTTATTACACTTTCATATCCATTTTGCGTTTTTGCTATCAAACTGAGGACCAACAAGATCAAAGTACCAGAGAGTTCTTGCCTGAAACGTGGCCAGCTTGGTACAGACTCCATTCAGTATACGGTTAAAACCTGAAACTTGGATGCATCTCCCTTTGTTTATATTTTTTGTCAGTAGAGGACAGCAAGTTACTTTTTATTTGTTTGGATTGTACAATACTCTTAATGTGTGTTTAGTTTACATCAAATTTGAAAGTTTGATTGAAATTGAAACGACAAAGGTTAGAAATTTTTGTGTAGAAAAGTTTTGATGTGATGGAAAAGTTAGAAGTTTGAAGAAAAAGTTAGGAACTAAAACAGGCCTTAGTTCACTTGTATTTTCTATTTTGGGTTTGAACTGCCATACTCACTGCAAGGGGAGTTCTGATTTAAATTTATAGATTCATCTCTATTTATTTATCAAAATTAAAGAAAAGAATTATACATAGTATTAACCTGCACGTATCAACCCCCTAGGATATACACACACACCCCAAGTGTACAAAAAAAATAAAATTTTGAAATTCTTCATATTCTGTTCTTCCTCAATGACCGAAAAGGGCCTGAAATCAAATGAATTCCCTTCTGTTGGCCAGATCTGTTAGTGATTCACCTTCACCATTTCCTTTGGGAAACCAAAATAATCTTAATTTTTCATAACCGCGAATTTTTAGCCTTTTTGGGCCTGACAACGCTGGCGGTCAGCTTGATCCTAGGAATGGAAAATTCGCCACTTATCACTTTAGAAGCAACGATCTCGTTTGCAGCATCGGTGAAGTGGACCCCATCCCAGCTGATGAACTTCTCACCAAGCTTACACAGGTCCTTGTCATTGGCCGTGCAGCTTTTCTTCGGATCATAGTTGTAAGGGGGCCCTCCATGTCCACAACATGTCATCAATGGCTTCTCAATCCCTGTACAAGAATTATATTAGATGCACAAATCTAGATATATTTTTAAGGGGTTACAGCTGATTATAAGCCATAAAGGTTTATTAGCCATCCAAAAATAATTTATGAGTAAAACTTTTGTATAAATGCCCTTAGCGACTTAAAAGCAGATGCTGAAAAAGAAACTAGGTTGAGAAAACATCAAATTAACTTCAAAACTAAATTTTTAAATTTAAATTTTGGCAGCAACTTATAAGCCATAGGGCAAACATGAGGCCCCTTGCTTGAACTGACAAATAATATTAGTTATAGACCAGTCATTGTTTTGAAAGCCTGTAGTTTTCGGGATGTCGAAATCACTAGGTCCAGATGTACCATTTTAGTTGCTGAATGTTTGGCTCATAGAATTGACAGGTTAACTTACCGTGTTTCGTGTGGTTGGCAACAAGATCATACTTGATGGCGAACATGTCCACGAAGACGATCGTCGAGCTTGCGAATTGCAAGCGCAGATCATCGCAGGTTTCGCTCAGCAACTTGTTGAACCTCTTGGCAACATTGTTGATTCTTGTGATGCAGCCATGCTCGTCGAGATCACGATCAATTTCCCCCCTCGTAGCAAGCTTCTGAGGCAGGCAACCCAATGCACCCGTTCCATGTATCCAAAACTTCTTGGCCCCATTCTTATGCAAAGTCTGCAGTTTGGCAAGGGTTCAATGATCATTTCTCTGAATAACTGATAGTATTTTTTTTTTACTTCAGAACTTACTGGTTTAAGGGAGAAGTTTAGATAAAAATTTGAGCTGTTTACTGAGAATAATTTATCATATGTGCTACTGTTTTATTGACTTGAACCAAATGTACCTCAATGGCTTTCCTGATTTCAGCAACTATGGGAGGAAGCTTTCGAAGAATTTCATCATAGGACAAGTGCAAAACGCCCATTAAATCATTGTGCCCTATGTCCATGGTATAGAGGGCATTTTCAAACCCTTTGCTATCAATTGGGGCATCCTCACCTGGATGACATTCACCAAAATTAAGCAACTTTGTCACTCCAAAACAATGCAAATAAGTCGGAAACCCAATTAATTGCGCAAAAAAGGAACACTTTGCTTAGAACAAAATGTCACCAAATTAAGATCAAACCGACCTCTTTCGATGGACTCCAAGCATCTCTCCTTGAAAAATATGAACTGATCAAGCTGCACATCAAGCGAAAATGTGGTTTCTCCCGGTGTTGCCGTCGAGCCGGCGATGGCGAAATTCACACCGTTGTTGTAATCCGCTCCCAGTGGCCTCATGAACGGGCTGAGGTGGTGAGTGTTCAAGCTCTCACCTGAAAAACAATGTCATGTCACACCACCACAGATCATCAGGTAGAAAGTTCAGAGTTTTTTTTTTTTGAGAGGGAGGGGGGATACGCAAGGATAGTGTATCGTTGCATTAAGAGGAATAAAGTTTTTGTACAACCGAAAACAGACAACCAAAGGTACATTCTGCAAATGGTTTGTTTGCACTTTCAGTTGAAAGATAAACAAGAACTGGCAAAAAGATGGGCAGCACATGCACAAGATTCCAATTGCCCTTACAAAAGGAAAAAACAAAATCTAATAGTGATTTACATCTCACTTGTGCTAAAACAACGAGGTGGTCCTGAAGAAACAAGGTTCCATGCTTAAGAATGCAGCTGAGCTGTTGAGTGAGATGCACTTGAGAGCTACATGACCCGGTACTGCACTGGTGACCTGTGCATTTATTTGCAGTAAACTGAAAGGCAACACACCGTGATCGAGAGGCGACCGGTACGTCTGTCGCATTCGGTTTACTCAACTAATTCAACTTCTATTTATAAGGTAGTAGCAAGCATAAGAACAATATTTTTTTTTCACCTTGCTAAAAAAATCTGTGATGCAACAGCTCTTCTTTTTTTTTCTCATTTATAATCTACAGCTAAATTGAAAAGGTGGGTGAGTACACAAAGATTAGTACTCCATGCTTAGTAGTACAGTACTAACATGGGGACGAAAACTAAAGCGTGACTAGCTCATAAGTTTTCTCTAGGACAACAAAAACACCAAGGAAAAAAAAACACTAGTCAATCAAGATGTAACCTAGTGGCAAGTAATCCATTCATCTACTTTTGATAGTTATATTTCATCTTGGCACACAGACTAAGGATAAGTGATTCCGCTTATCATCCATTTAAACATGTCACTGGTCATTTCTCGTAAACAAGCGATTCATTAATATTTATATTTCTCGATGCCCAGGTAGTCAATCTTGTGTGGAAGAATGAAGAGTTACGCATTAAATACAAGAAAGCCATTAAGATGATAAGTTGTTGGATTGAAATATGTCAATTAAAAATAAATATTTCAGATTTAAAAATATAACTATTAAAAGTAGATGGAGGGAGTATTTAAGAAGAAAATACGAGCGTGCCCAGAAAACCAACACACTCCTACGACTACGCTAGTAAGTGTGCATCTCAATCACAATGGAACAGGAGGAAACAGGAGGGCATGCGGATGCATGGAGAAAAGAATGTGTCCGTGCAGAGAATTGATTGCCCACGGAGTGGAAGAGATACCAGAATAGCGTGTTGAGCTGAGCACAATATCTCTTTGAAACTCGTGGCTCCACTCAGGCTTCACAGAACTGGACCAGAGTAGTCTTTTCGGCTTTTCGCAAATACCATTTGATTATCGGTGAAATCCAACTAAATTTTGTCAAAAAATTAAAATATACTTTGATTTTGTTAACTTGACTTGGGAAACCTTTCCCAATTTGACCCAGAAAGTCCGGTTTTCGCCGGTTTCGTAAACCCCGGCTCAGCTAGTATATATATATTTCAATGAAGTGAATGAACAACTCTAGCTAGCATCACTGGAACGGTAGTTGAGCGAGAATGGCGGGAGTTATTAATGTCATGGAAGAGCCTGAAACTGGTGGCAACTGGCAAGTAGAAGTAGTTCTAGCGTTCTTGCCTTCTCGGCATGTGGCACAGGCAATTAATTCCTCTCCATTTAGAGAGAGAGAGAGAGAGAGAGAGAGAGAGAGAGGAGGGAGATTTTCTTCTGGGAATTATGGGAATATTAGGCAGAAGAGATCAGACAGAATGAAGGCATCATATTGATGATATGGTGTGAATGGTGGAATCAGTGACCACACTGGAAGTGTCGGACCATCTAGTAGTACTAGTATAGGAGACGACAGAGAAAGTTAGGTTCAAGTAACAGTGTAACACGCTTTCCTTCCTCCTTCAGTTTCCTTTTGCTGATCCGTGACAGCTTCCTAATGCAGAATGCTGGAGGAATTCATCGTGATAAAAGATAGGGTGTGTTTCGTTCACGCTAAAATTGGAAGTTTGGTTGAAATTGGAACGATGTGACGAAAAAGTTGGAAGTTTGTGTGTGTAGGAAAGTTTTAATGTGATGGAAAAGTTAGAAGTTTGAAAAAAAATTTGGAACTAAACAAGGCCATAGTACTAGTACAAAGAAGAAGAAGTCTTTTTTTACGAAATTCATGCGTTCCAAACAAATCACCAATCTACCATGAAAGAACTTGAATTCTGAACTACAAGGAACCTTTGACAATCACAAGTGAATATATCAAACTTCACCAAGCAGAGGTAAAGCCATATCGTTTCACTTATACTTATACTTATAAAAATTTAAAGTTTGAATAATTTTAGAGTTGTTGTTTTTTCATCATAGTTTATTTTACAACATTTACTTTTAAATCGCTAAATATATATATATAAAAGTTTTACATACAAATTATTTTTTAATTATTAACAAGCCGTATAGATAAGCATAACTGTAAGCGATACAATGGGCTGGTACCACCACTATACATTATGTAACTGTCGCTTGTGCCTTACGATTGAAGAAGCTATTCCCTCCGTCCCAAAAAAAAAAAAGACAAACCCTGGTTTCCGTGTCCAATGTTTGACCGTCCGTTTATTTGAAAAAATTATGAAAAAAATTAAAAAGACAAGTCATGCATAAAATATTAATCATGTTTTATTATCTAACAACAATAAAAATACGAATTATAAAAAATTTTCATATAAGACGGACAGTCAAAGTTGGACACGAAAACCTAGGGTTTGCTTTTTTTTTTGGACGGAGGGAGTACGCAAGAACACCCCGGTGTAACATTATCTTTTTCAAAAGAAAATGTTTATATGTACCCAGTACCCGAAGGAAATGTCAGTATGAGGTTCTGGTCTCAAGGTGCCAACGACTTGAAACTTGAAAGAATGGCACATTTGCCATGTGCAGGATATAAACAAAGAGGAGTAGTAGGTGAGAGACCGTGAGAGAGACCCTCGTTGAAGGTGCAAAGGTGCTCTTTACGACTTGATCTTGCCTTGCTGTTCTTGCATTGGAAGTACACAAAAACTACTCCAAACCAGTACACTCCGTACTCGCCATTGGCAAGCTAAATACTACCAGACCATTCGACTAAAAAGAAGATAAAAAAGAAAGAAAATGGGTACAGTAACTTATTTTTTTTACTATCTCATCTGTTGCCTAAAAAGAATAAACTGAACTAAAAAACTTTAACTTTTAAGTTGATTTTAAAATATTTTAAACTTTTTTCAACATTAAATTTTAAATAATTAAAAACATATATAAAAATTTTACTTATAAAATATTTTTTATCTGTTAATAAATCATTATTGTTTATAATCAGCTGTTAAGCAACCGTGAGACAACCATTCACTGTCCATTCAAGTAGTCAATTTGCTGCGAAAGGGTATATAGTCTAATGGTTATAAGAGCCTCAATAGTATTTTAGGTCCTAGATTCAACTCTTTATGGGAGCGAATTTTTCAGGATTTAATAGTATTATGCTTTCAGTGGTAGGTGACGTACCCGTTGTGTGTTGTGTTGTACTGTATAATCTTTTTTAAAAAATAGTCAACTTGCCACTTTGGCAGAGTTTATTATTATTTTTTACTGCAGGGTAAGAACCCCAAGAGGCAAGTAGGCAACCGCAACCAGCCAACCACAGGAGTTAGGACAGGAGACATGCTCCCAAAGAGGCAAAGATAGCAAGGACCGGGTCGCACAATTTTGACGGCTGCCACGTGTCAGCAACACCACCCCGCGCGTGCCGCGTGCCAGGAGCGGGAAGACGAGCTGTCCGCGTCGTGCGATCCAGCGTTGCTCTCTCCATCCCAACCGTTAATTAATCAACACACCTGCCTTTTCTTTCATTCTCTCTTCTTTTCCTTTCCTTAGACAAAACTCCAAATCCATTCCAAAAACTTTTTTCTTAAAAAATGGCAAACCTACCGTGACATTGGACCATTTTGCAAAAGAACAAATAAAATAAAATAAAATGATTTTCACTCCCCTTTTTTCCCTGAGGGGTGGTTGTCACGTTCTGATCAAGCATCCAGGTTCCAAGCTGGAACCTGGAGAAAAAAAAATAGGGACGTCCTACCATGCGAGTGAACCAAACAAAGATGTACAAAGACCTGCGTGATGGTGATGCTGCAGTTGTTGCGGTTGGTACAAAATTTGAAGAATTTTTTTCAAAGTTTGTACGTACCAATACGACCCATAGTCAACACTCTAACAAAATGAGCCAGTACCCAATCCTAAATTCAGTCGGTTGTGCCTTTCGAGTCGTTCATTTTTGGGCCCAAAATATTGAGAATAAAACGAGACTATACCGACCAAGTATTCAATATCCTTCTTTGGATAGGGTTTTTCACGTAAATTGGTTCAATCTCAATAAATTTCTTCAAACTTCCATCGTTCATTTTTTTTTCTAGAATAAAATATCAGAATTTCCCCGTAATTTGTTTCAGTTCTAAACTTCTAATACCAAACATTTTACATCCTGTATTTTTTAAAACCGAACAAATTATAAAGGGTTAATTAGATATATGCCATTAAAAATTTGCCGGATTTGAAATATGCCATCAGTATTCGCGTATTTGGAACCATACCATTGCAATTTTACACATATTCAAGATATGCCACTACCAATCATTTATGAAAAAATTTGGACCAAATTACCCTTCTTTCCTTTTTTTTCTCCCCCTCCTTTCTTCCACAGCTCAGAGAACTGGCGGCGGCGGAGCGGCGGCAGCAGCGAGCGGAGCAAGCGGCTGCAGCGGTGGAGCGAGCGGCGCGGCGGCGGAGCGGCGGCAGCAACGAGCGGAGCAAGCGGCGGCAACGGCGAGCGGCGCGAGCGGCGGCGGCCGAGCGAGCGGCAGCAGCGTGCGGCGAGCGGCGGCGGCGAAGCGACCGACGGCAGCAGCGAGCGGCGGCGGCGGTGGCGGAGCGGCGGCAACAGCGAGCAGCGGCGGCGGAGCGAGCGGCGGTGGCGGAGCGGCGAGCGGCGGCGGCGGCGGAGTGAGCGGCAGCAGCGTACGGCGAGCGGCGGCGGCGAAGTGGCGCGAGCGGCGGCGGCGAAGCGACCGACGGCAGCAGCGAGCGGCGCGAGCGGCGGCGGCGGAGCGAGCGGCGGCGCAGTGAGCGGCAGCAGCGTGCGGCGAGCGGCGCGAGCGGCGGCGGCGGTGGCGGAGCGGCAGCAACAGCGAGCAGCAGCGGTGGAGCGAGCGGCGGCGGCGGAGCGGCGAGCGGCAGCGACGTCGAGCAGCAACAGCGCGGCAGCGACAGCAACAGCGGCGGTGACGGCGCCAGAGTAGAAGCAGCGGGGAAAGAGCTAGAAGATGAGAGAAGAGGGAGAGAGGTAGAAGATGAGGGCATTTTCGTCCAATACATGTAAAATACGTATCTTAGTGGCACCACTGAGATTACAACAAATAGCAATGGCATCATTCCAAATACGTAAATATTAATGGCATATTTTAAAACCGGCAAAATTTTCATGACATGTATCTAATTAACCCAATTATAAATTATCTGACTATAGCTAGCCGAGTACTAAGAAAGTGTGGCAACTTCAAAAATTTATGGCTATGATCTATGCACCAAACAACCGTATAAAAAAGTTTAAACTCTCCTAAAATTTGACAAACCAACCGACCACAACCTCTCCACCGATAGAGGTTTAATTAAATTAAACCATGCTTATTATTAAGTAATCTAACGATGACAATAAAACAGAGTTCCAACTTCCAAGCCAGTCAATATCACGCTAAGTAGAAAAGGACTAATTAAACTTAAATAAATCCCAAGCCATCTAAGCTCGAACACTAATAAAAAACAGAACGCATACGCATTTAAAATCCAAATTAATCTGCACTTCGAATCAGATTTAAAATTTGAGATTAGGATTGGGAGGAGGAGGAGGAGGAGGAGGAACTCACAGATGAAGTCGAGGATGACGCGGCCGTCGGAGAGGCGGCCGGTGGGGTGGTGGAAGTAGGCGCGGCCCTCCGGCGCCGCGATGTGGATCCCCATCACCGCCGCCACGCCGCCGGTGTCGGAGTTGGAGTCGCCGAAGTTGAACACCACCACCCCGGCCGCCGCCTTCTTCTCCGCCGCCACCTCCTCCTCCTCCCCGCTCCACACGTGCTTCCGCTTGCCCTTGCCCCGCTCCACCCCGCCGCCGCCGGGAGCAGCCGCCGCCGCCGCCGCGGCTGAGTCTACGGTGGCGGCGGAGGAGCGGACGGTTGCGCCGCCGCCGTCGACGGTGGGGGGCGCGGTGGCGGGGGCAGGCATGTAGCGGAGCGTGGCGAGCACGACGGCGGCGGCGACGAAGCCCATCACGCAGTAGTACTGCACACGGAGAAGGCCCATCCTCTTCATCACCCCGCCGCCGCCGCCGCCGCCTCCGCCGCCGCAGCCGTTCATCGCGCTCGCCATCGCCGCCGGCGAGCTTTTCCGGTGGAGACGAGAAGTAATTAATCCTTCGGAGAAAATGGAATGGCGATGATGCGTGTGGAACCGTGTGTTTTATATATAAACACAGGATGCAGGCACATGTGTCACTAGCACTTTATGCTTGGGTTTCAAACAATGTGTGTGTGTGGAGGAGTTGGTGTGTTTGAAATTTTATTATATGTTTTCTCTTGCTTTTTCTTGGGTGGTTGTCAATTCTTTAGCTTTTGTTTTAGTACTGATGATAACAACATACATCACCAATAAAATAATTTTTAGCACATTTTATTTGTTTTTTCAAAAGAAAGTCATGATGTTAGGATTTACTAAACTGTTTGCGGTAAGGATACTGCCACCCTACGGTTTGACGATTACTGTGAAAACCAAACGGTTACCGCGAGGTATACCGTGGTTTTGTAAACCCTGCCAGATGCCAATGTTTTCCTTCCTATAAGCCCCTACGTTTAAAAAAATCTTGTTATTGGATATTAAACATATTTAAACTCTCATTACTCTTTTTTTAAAAAGAAAAAAATATAAGTACTAAAAATATATTGACATCCGTTACGTTACAAACATTAAGTTTTCGTTCGTCGTAATTCAATCGATCAAAGTTAAAAATAATATCGGTTAGTACTAAGGCTGTGTTTAGTTGATGGCAAAGTTTGGATTTTGGTTGAAATTGGAGATGATGTGACTGAAAAGTTGTGTGTGTATGACAGGTTGATGTGATGGAAAAGGACTGAAGTTTGGATCTAAACACAGCCTAACATGGTATCTGTGATGAACCATAGTATATGACGACACATACTTGCACCCCCTGCAGGGCTCACAAAATTCTTATTGAAATGCAAATGCAAATGCACACGCATACATAGTATAGTACACAACTTAAATCATGGTAGGTGGTGACAACATGAACCTAGCTAAGCTATACACATGCACACACACACGTAAAAGTCTACCAGAATCACTTTCCGTTGTCATGCCAGCATCTTTAATCATCATCCAGCTTACTTATATTAACATAATCAGCTGATTCTAGAGGCGCAATAATTAATGACGGTGAGGGGATGATTAAATTAATTAGTAGTAGAAACTAGTGAGAAAGCAGGTGGAAAATGCACATAAAGGTGATACTGCTTTAGTTGTTGCAAGCCGTCGTGGTTGATCGATCAGATCGATCGAACGTTCGTTGATCGTGTGGTTGGTGCAACGTTGGTTTCCTATCTTGGCCAAGGAAAGAAAGCTGACATCGCATGGACCTGAGCTTGTTACCGGCGAGCAGCGAGCGAGCGAGCGAGCAACCGCAACGGCGACGCCGCATCCGCCGGCGGGTCGGGATCGATCGAGACGCATTCCATCCATCGGTCTCGGTCGTCTCGCCTCTCCAGCATATATGCAGATTTCTCGGTCGGTCGCCGCGAAAAATCTTGTTTGTTGGTATTAGTAGGTGTGTGGCTGGGCTCCGCGACTTTGATATATACTCACTCTGTTTCACAGTGACGTAGCTAGAATTTATAGTAAAGATGGTCCATCTATATGTAATATGTCAATTAAATAGGTGGTCCACTATATAATTTTTATTATATTAACTAGCACATATACTATAGTTTTAATCTTGATCAAATTTTTAGGTGGTCCATGGACCACAGTGCCACCTAGCTGGCTACGCCACTGCTGTTTCATATTATAAAACTTTCTAGTTTTACCCAATGTCTAGATTCATTAACATCTATATGAATATGGACAATATTTGCTAGAAAATCTTATAATATAAAACGAAGAAAATATGTTTTTTTTCCCAAGCAAACCCATCGTAACGTAATGCAACAGAAAACGGATGCATATATACATTTGCCTGCCTCATCCGGCACGGTATATATATGGACATAGCAAAAGGAAGGGAAGCGAGCAATGGAGGAGCGAGCCGTTGCTTATAAGTATGACACTGATACCACAAAACAACAAATAGGGGGATAGCCTATATAGATATCGAAAACAACAGAATCAACACCTATATATAAGGATTTTCTGGCCCGCTAGGGCACCAAAGGATACTTTTGAATACAACAGGAATACACACGCTAATTAAGATAATCGATCAACGGATAAAATCTGCCTCTGCGCGCAAGGTGGGTGTACATACTTTTTTTAAGATAATAGAATAGAATACCATCCCAATATTTGCTCAACAAGCTACAACTAATTATTAGTACACCAAAGGGAGCGCACCTTAAACAAAAACTTAAAAAACACTCCCAAACATGAAGCAAACATAAACTAATAAACGCCAACACAAGATAAAGAGTACACAATTATTAGATCCTATTTGTGAACCTCCATCTGAAATTAACAAAAAGCTACATGACTGTTATCTCAAGATTACGGTATGCAGACTTTAAAAACTTAATATCTTCATCACACGTTTGTAGTTGTGCCCAGAACCGAAGTCAATATGTTTCCCTGAAAAGAACCTGCATATAAGATATAGATGTCAAAAGTCAAAAGGAATATTAATTTAATGGAGAAATTAAGTAATGTGACACACTTGTGTGCAGGGCTTGTGCGATTAAAATATATATGAATTTCGTAAAAAATACTTTAGATCTAATTTTCAATTTCATGATATTAATCCGCTATACAGACTACAAAATCATTCAACTATATTTTCAGAAAAAAAAACATTAATGGGAGATATCGATATAATGTCTTCGTTTGGCTTCTTTTTTATCACATGCAATTCTCCACGCTACAGTGAAATATACATTTCTGGCCGTCCGGGGCATACAATTAGTCCTAACATTTTGAAGTTTAATAATTAGTAATTGGCGAAACAATTCTTCAAATGCACCTTTTTTTGTTGCTACTAACATTTTGTATAAATACTTGGGGCTGAAGTTACATTTATGATTTTTCTATACCTCGATCTCGTCCAAAATTTGAAAATATATCCATGCTCAAAATATTAAAGTATGACTTGAAACCATAAGTCCATATCGAAAACACGTTTTTTTGTGACCGAAGCAAGTATTCTAACATGGTGACGGCTACTATATATACCAAAAAAACAACATGACAAATACGTATGGGATCCACCGTTAATTAGGGTGTTAGTTAAACGGCCTAGCTGTCGGCGACTGTAACAGTGGGACATCGTACAGTACTCCCTCCGTAAAAAAAAAAGGCAAACCACGGGTTTGCGTGCCAACGTTTGACTGTCCATCTTATATGAAATTTTTTTATAATTAGTATTTTTATTGTTGTTAGATGATAAAACATGATTAATACTTTATGCGTGACTTATCTTTTTAATTTTTTTCATAATTTTTTTAAATAAGATGGACGGTCAAACATTGGACACGGAAACCAGGGTTTGTCTTTTTTTTTGGGACGGAGGGAGTACATACGAAGCTGCCCAGCAGCAGCCGCCAAATGCACAAAAAAAACACTTTTTCCCCTTTTTGAATACGAAAATCAAAGAAATGCCTTGGAATTACCAGTGCTATGTACTCCCTCCGTCCTAAAATATAATTATTTTTAAATCATAACACGGTCTCCGAGATACTACTTTGACCAATAATATCTATAAAAATAAAACGTTTTAAATAAAAAGAGTTATATATTATGATAGTTTGTTTAATGATAAATCTAGTAACATCAATTTTACATGATTGATCTTTTTTTATTAATGATTAAAATTAAAAATGTTTGATATATTATTATGCTAAAAATACTTATATTTTAGGATATTTTGGGATGGAAGGATTGCCTAATTAAATCATGCGGCAATTGCTTCAGGAGCAGACAAGCCAATCAGGCAGAGATACCATCATGAGATTACAAAAGGCCATTTGATCGATGTGCCATCATGTACATGCACGAAAAAAAATAATGTTTTATATATTACCACATCATGGCAATATATGGTTTGGCAGTAGAAAAAGGTGACAGGTACGCGCCTGAAAATGCAAATATCTTCTTCTAATGATCAAGGCCCCTGCCTCAGCTTAGTCCAAATAAACTTACTATTAACTTACCAAACAAATTTAAACGAGCTGTTCCTTTCAGATCTACCAAACGATGTAGTTTGTCGATGGAAATGAGAACCAATTTGGTAGTTAGTATTACTTTCCAGTACTTAAGGAGTAGTTAGCAAGTGGATGGAGATGATGACATATAATTGTATATATAATGGAGACATGGAGTTGGTAGTACGGAGTACTCCCTTCGTCAAAAAATAAATCTAAAATTTGATATGACACATTCTGAATCTCGGGTATGTCTAGATTTGTAACGTGGTAACGGCACGAAGAGTTGCCAGCTCTGAAGCAAACAAGTCAGCAGATTAGACTAGAAAAATTACCAGTTCGCAAGTCTTGGGTAGCGATCGTGCCGACGAGCCAGATCACCTGGCGCTCTGCGTCGGTCTCACGTACGGCCGAGATGCTCAATCCTCAGCGTTTCAGCTGAGCGCTTGTAAAATTTGTAATTTTTTTATTTCTCCTTCGATATATATAACCTTCTAAAAATTTATCAAGTATAAATATAGTATGATAGCGTGATAACATTATAGCATGCATGTAATTACGATTAACTTTCGTTGTAACACTATTTTCATGAAGCGGACGCTTAGGAACATATATAATTCCCTCGTCCGTACACACATTATGATTTTTTTATTCCTGGTTTGCATAAATTATGTAAAGATTATAAATAAGTTACATTGTAATTACATACGAGTTATGATATAATTACACTATAATTATACAATACTTGCATTTGACAAAATGTATAGCGGAATCGAAAGGGAAAAGTAAAATAAAATGAGAGAGAAAAATAAGAAACAAATATGGGAAAATTGGGAAGATATATAAAAGAAGATGAAAATGGTAAATACATATATGAATGGAATAAGTCTATTTTGCGTCCTTTGTATGAGGAGACAGAGCCCTCCCTTCAGGAGGGACTAGCCGAATTCAGGAACGAGTATGAAGAGAAAGGCTACATCGAGGCTGGTGAAGACTACCACACATACATGGCTGAGGTTCAAGAATGGTCGAAGAAATATTGGGATCTT